TTTTGAAAAACAAAAAACAAAGCAAAGTTGAAACAAAAATACGCAGGCGCCAAGCTGCAGCCCGTCACCCAACGCGTTGCTTGCTCCAAGCATCGTCAATGCGCCTGGTCCGACTATGCCGTGAGGCTGCAGTCCTTAGATCGAGCCGAACAGGGCGTCTACCTGCACAGCAAGCCGCCGACAACTGAAAACGTGCCCACTATGTTGCTCAACTTAATGGCCAACACCTCCAAGACATGTCTACTTGCAAGTGGATCACAAGGACTTCTCCTGTGAATTCAGCCGGCCTATTTTCCACGGGAACCAAGTGCCGGCTACAAAGTCGGAGGTCCCAAGCGACCTTAAACGGGAGAAGGGAAGACCTGGTCCATCTCACTTCCTGGGGATTGGCCGAACAAGTTTAAATTGTTCATTTACTACTACAATGCTCCAAACCCAAAAGTGATTCCTGTCCAGGAACTCAGGAAGTGAGTCTTCCTTTCTTCTCGAACGGGTGAGATGTACCGGAAACTGCCACGTGCAAATTCCTACTGTCCAAAGGGGTGGGCCTGAAGTCGATCGTTTCGGCCGAGTTCCTACGGCTTCTGGGAGCGTAGAAGTACACCTCCCCAGTTCGATTCGTTCCCAGGTGCCCACGCAATTAAAATGTGCAAATTATAAGGGTTCAAAAAATTAGAATGGGGCTGTACTTTGAAACCAAACTATGTCGTCATGCAAGAATGCCAGTAAGTAAGTAACCTTCTTTGCCCCCCCTCCCCCCGCCCCCCTCCCCCCGCTTTTTCGCTTGAAGGAGGCCCCCCATCAACCCATCCCCCCCCCCCAGGTTCCGCTTGAAGGCGACGAGGCACACCTTCTCCCAGACGTGCTGGTGCTTCACCTTCTCCCGCTCCTCCGCGCGGCGCTGCCGCTCCTGCTCCCGGATGGCGAAGATCTGGTCGTCCGGGGGCAGCTTGAAGGGGTTCTCCTCCTGCTGGAAAAGCTGAAGCCGGAAAAATAACGGAGGGGAGGAGTTCTAATGGAGGGAGGGGCTGGTTTAAGATTCGAAAACAAGTTGGGCTCCCTGAAAGTGGGAGTTTCCCAAATGAATGAGAACTCTCAAACTAAAACGCAGGTATTGGGTCATTATATTGACGGTTTCTGGGGGTTATCAAAGTCAGTAAATGGAATCGGTGGTTTCCCTTCAACCCGCCATTTAGGGGGTGACTTTGATCATGGTAAAATAATGAGGCCAGGTTGTGCCGGAAATGAAATGCGGAAGAGAGGAGAAAAGGCCTTCGCGGTGATTGCCTTTCGGTTATCGTTTTTCATGGCTCCTTCTGAGCGTGCGCAGGAACTTCGACCGATGGCCAAATGGCCCCTAAGGCGTTGGCCACAAAAAAGAAACTCAATCTCAACGTTGGAGCGCCGGCAGCAGCCACAACATTGACAGCTGCAAAATCAAAAGCAGAGAAACTCTCCCGAACTGCGACGACTTTGCGTGGCAGCCAACCCAAGAAACTGACTCTGCGCTGTCCGCGCTGAACACCGTCAAACCTCTGCTCGCAGAGTGTTCGCCCGGGGAGCTGGATTAAGATTCAAAAAACAAGTTGGGCTCCCTAAAAGTGGGTGTCTCCCAAATGAATGAGAACTCTCAGATCAAAACGCCTCCGACCCTTTTTTTCCCCTCCATGCGCATCTCCAAGAGGAAGGGCCCGATTTCCCCGAGATTTTGCCTCATGTGGCAAGATCAACGGCTTTACGGATTTAACGTTGGCCTCTGCCCCTTTTGGTGGGGGGGAGGGGGGAACTTGTTCCACCACCGGATCGCAAAACCGAATTATAGCCATTGCGATGGGATCTTCACCTGGAAAACCGTTTCACTCTCTATCGCTCTCTCTCTCACCGCTGCGCGCCTCAATTTTGGCCACCATGTTTCAGCGGCCAAGGGTCGTTAGCATCAAGGCCCACAAAGCAGGCTTTGCGAAACAAGAATAGCCTCTCGATATCTGATGATTGCATGACTGGCTGAATCTGGACCTTTGTCGAGCTCACTTTGTGCTGGAGCCAGTCAAGTCGGCACTCTCAAACATGAACCGCTTCCGGTCCCGATGGCCGTGAGCGAATGTGGCTGAAGCCATCCATCGCCGAAAACACGGCACGTGCACTTGTCTTCTTCCATCTGCTTCGCGTGCCGCCAATGATGCGGTGCTTCCCTGCCATTGCTACTTCCCCTGACCAGCATGAAAAATATAGACTCACTTTGAGCAAACAGGGAAAAACAAAAAAACAAAAACAAAAAACAAAAAAGCGCTGCTTCGAGCCCCTGGAAGCGGGCCTCTTCGAACAAGCCCTGGTCGAGCTTGTCGTACACCCGCCACCTGGCAGGTGATTTCCCCCTGGCAACCTCGAACCCACGTGGCCATGGGTCAAAATCCAAATCGTACCCCCAGTGAACATCCCAATCCCCACTAGAATAGGCTCTAAAATGGGTGGTGAACTCGTACCTTACACACGCCACAAGCAGCAAAAAAAGTCCATTCGCCAGCCAAAACAGAACGGCTGCCTGGCAATTGTACTACCTGAATCTTCGTGACATACACAAGAACATCTGCGGAAATTGAAAAAATCCTTCCTCCTTCCTTCCTTCCTTCCTTCCTTCTTTCCTGTCCTTTCCTTTCCTTTCCTTTCCTTTCCTTCCCTTCCCTTCCCTTCCCTTCCCTTCTCTTCCTTCCGCGGCGCGTCTGAGCTACGGAGCGAAGTTCTCAAATGGCAAGATCATGACGGGCTCTGCGACGGCCAACCAAACAAGACCCCAACTGGGAACAACATTTTTGGACTACGGGCAACTGAAGAAACACCCAACTGCCCGGGCTCCCTTTCAGAACATCCGCGGCACGTGCTAGGGTCCCTTTCGTCTCTGGTTGCAGGATTCCAGCATTCAGCAGGAAGCGAACAACCATTAGAAGATCGGCTGCGCTGGTCACGGTCACGGTGCCAATACTAGGAACCCTTAAACTCCCTGTTTAACAGGTCCGCCACCAGCCCTAACCAGGTGTTTGGACCAACAAGGGCACCTGGGTTTGTTTCCAAATGAAGACAAGCCCCCAAACAGAAATAGGTTGATTCCCTTCGATTTCCCTTTGAAACCTCAGCCACAGGGGCATCTCCCCTGAGCCCATTGGCATCTCCCCTGAGCCCATTCAGCCCATTCGACCACAAAGGTAGGTTTCACGCAAACGCCGGATGGGCCCTAAGACGGGGGCAGCCACTGCAATCTCCTGAGTAAACCAAGGGACAATGATTGCGATAAGCCCTTCAAAACAAAGCCTTCAGCTCCTGAGTCTCCCCGCCGAAGAAAATATCCCAGTGCAAGAGAGGAAAAAGAAGAAGGGACGGCCGGATGCCTTCTTCTCTTGTAGGTTGTCTCGAAATGTTTCTACCTCCAGCTGAGGTTCGGCATCTTTTTGTGCCCCTCTAAATACCCCTGCAAAAGGACACCTCCACCCTCGTTTTTGAGAAATTCTGAGAATCCGCCTTCCGGCAACTGAGCTTGCCGGGCTTCCCAACACCTCTGCAGACATCCCCAGCAGGTGCACGGCAGGCAGTGGCCTGGTTGCATCTAAATGGGCCCGATTCTGCCCAAGGGTCTGGGGCAAACTTGCCCGAAGTGAGAACAACACACCGATTTGGGTGGGCGGTGAAGGGGTCCTACTCAAATCAAGGGTATCTGAGTTGGTTTAGTCAAGGCGTCAAGAAGCAAAGCAATACCCGGTGGCAGAGAATATGCAAAAACACACCTGTCCGACATACAATACAAAGGGGAGCGTAGCAAACAACTGCAGCAGGGATTCGGTAGACATCCAAAAGCCAGCTGCCGAAACCACGGATGCGAATCCTCATATCACGCAAAAAGTAGTTCTTCGTTGTTGGCCCCTGGTATTTCGGGGAACTAAGAGAAAACACGTTCTTGCAAAAAGGGAATTCATCTCCTTTCCATGAAATTCCACAAACATTGGACCCAAAAAATGGGCTCCCTGTTTGGCCCCAAGGCTCAAAGAAAACCAACACCCCACCCCGTTCGGCGCAAGGCGCCGCAAGAGAGCCGCCGGATCCATGGTCAGGCCATGGACCATGGCGAAATTCCTGAAATCTTGTCCCCGGAAGAAGAAGAAAAAAAAAGATCTGGGTGCGGTTCCTTCTAGGGGACCCTTTTGGTGGACTTCTCCAGAATGGCTTCCTAATTTGGTTTCCAAATTGTTTTTGGTGGATTTCTCCAGACTGGTGCTCCCTTTCAACCCACCAAAAACGGGTACCGTCGTACACGCATAGGTGCTGTGGTTCCTCCTGCTTTCTGCAATGTCAGTTTGTTTGGGAACCCATGGCGCAGGACAAGACAAGGCCCGGTCTTCACCCCAGTTTTGCAAGGCAATTTGGGTTGTCCCGCATGAAACATTCAACCGGGTTGCTAGTTTTGCCAGGCAGCCTTGTCAAAACAACTTTGCTCCAACTGCCGGTTTGATGCTCGGTAACTCGACGCAGAATATGGCCGCTTGTGCGCTTCTGCCGGCGCTGATTTCCGTGGCTCTTGAGAAGCGAAAACTGCACAGGGAAGGAGAACGTGGCGGGGCCGTTGTGAGAGGGGTGGACGGCCAACACTAGTCAAGTTTCCCAAACACTCGAGCAAAACAAAGCGCCAGCTCAGGCTGGCCAGGTCTTGCCAGGAGCAAATCAAATGGCGCTGTCAGCATGACAGGCTTTCGCCGCATGTGAAGAGGGTTTCTGCACGCACAAAGGGTGCCGTGATTCTCCCGAGGAATCGAAAAGGATCCCTGCCATCAATGTGCCTGTGTTGAAAGCTGCCTGAAAACCTGCTGGTCATTCCCTTGTACCCAGCATCACGCCAGAATAGGCAAGTGAAGCGCGCCGCTGGTCTGCTTGGAATTGCTGGCACGACTCCGCAATTGCCACATGACGTCACATGCCGTACTTTCGCTTGCTGCGAGATGATTGTTTTTTTTCTTTCCGCAAGCCGCAGAAGTGTGACTTGGAAAGCGACTGCATCACGTGTCCAGTCCTGTCTCAGGACAATCCTGCCAAACATGTCTGCGGCAATCAGGGCATCAGGCGGATTGGCTCGAGGTGGTCGCACCGTACAGGCTCTCGGGGGTGTCAGCGATGGACGTGGCTCGCAGCTGTTGCTCCTGACAATGCTGTCAAAAACAACAGCAGCAGCAAGTACTAACACATACACTTTGTCACTTCATCAGCTCAGCTCCGCTTTCTGGAACTCGGTGTCTTTGTGGCTGTGGGTGTGTATGTGTGTGGCATGCTTCCCTCGTCCTTGCTTTGTGCTGCGTGCCGCGCGCAAATTGCCCATGGTCCCAACCCAAACATCATGCAGGGCATCATTTACCATGCCTGGTGTCCGTGTTCACTTCACTGGACCAACCGCGCAAGGGCTCCGGGCGGATCTCTTTCATGTTCTTTCTCTTCCATCACTGTCCATCTGATGTGAGAAACACATACTAAGACTTGCCATGTCTTTCATCCATCACATCTCTCCCAATTAAGATTATTGTAAAGCTTGAAAAGCATAAAGACTAAGGACAAGAGATAAAGGGATGAAGGGAATTGGCTGGGATGACGCGAAATTAAGTCTTGCAATTCCACGGGAAACCAAAGAAAGAACAAATCGGAATGGGAGATGATAGCATAAAGTTTCATTCCAGCATTTCTATGAGCAAATGATTTGCTATCAGTGTTTAGATTTACCCGTTCTTGCATATGGGGCTTGATCTATTCCTGGCTGGGTAGTTGTCCCATTTCGTGGGGAATATCATCCTTTCTATTGGTATTCCACAGCGGTCATCCCTTGTAAAGGGCCTTTTGATGAACCACCATATGCTGCTAACTGATTCTTCGGAGTCGCCAGCGAAAATGACCGCGTGGGTCGCTAAGCCTCGGTTCGACTGAGTGCTGGACCCCGCACCATATGTTGAGAGCATTAAATTTTATGGGAGAGCTGCCGAGCAGGGAGATCTCGTGTCTGCAGCCTTCTCATTGGGTCTCTCAGGCACAAAAAAAAACTCCTGGCCGTTCCCTCATTTCAGCACAGGCCCAATGCATTTTTTGCCCGACACCTTGCTTGGTAGGGAAAAGAAACAAACATTGGAGATGTGTTCCTCTTGTTTGGTATGGGACAATTGGTTGATTTCTTAACCAATGGATTCTCGGATCTTTGGGGTCTTAAAAAATCAACCATCCCTGGGTTGAGCCTGCCTTGAGTTGTCAACAAGTGGACGCCTCGAACAATATGTGTGCTTCTCCAGATCGGGGTGTCCCTTTGGTTCCCTTCTTAACACCATCTGAGAAGTGGCTTTCTCAAAAACGCCACACCCCCAAATGTTTTAAAACCATCTAAAAGCGGTTTGCTGAAGGAGAAAAACACTTGTTTCTACAACACAAAAACACACCCTTTCCTTTTGGTGTCCCCCCCCGCAAGACCGCCCAGAAAGCGGGGTCTGCTCCCCAAAATCCCAGCCCCCCAGGGCCCAACTCCTTATAGCTCGCCAGCATCTCCGGCAGGAACCGGCGCCAGGCGTCGCCGAAGCCCTCGGGAGGCCCCGGCACCTGCAGAGGCGATGCCAGCTGATGGGCCACCAAGGCCTGAAGCGAAGAGAAGACGCGGATGGCTTCAGAGGGTCGAAATCTGGCTGCGATCGGTGAATGAGAAATGGAAGGAACCGTTTTTGGGATGCCCTTAAAGGAAACTATAGGGGGAACTAGTTTTAAAAAACTCTCGGGTTGCTTCATAGGGCTGTTAGTGGGTGAGGCTCGCAGAATGGTAACTGCGGAAAGAAAAAAACAAACAAACAAAAACATTCACGAGGATTGTTGCTGGGTCACACCACTTTTGGAGGGAACACCCCCCCAAAAAAAGAAATGATAAATCCGGGGTCAGGGATACCTTCATTTATGGACGCCTTGCTTTTCGCAACTGTCCTGCAGACTGGCAACAATTTTGCGATTCCTTCAAGCCAACCCTCAACCCCCACCCCTCCGAAACCCTGCCTGCTGCAGCCGCGCCAAGGTCAGCGCAAAGGCGAAGGTGCCGCCGACTGCGAGCAGCAGAACTAGCACCAGGCGCTTCCAGAAGTTATGTCGCAGGTTCTTCCTGGATCGCGCGGCCGAAAAGCTGGCGACCCAAAGACGCCCCTTGCCGAAACCAAAAAAGGGGATGGTGACAAAACAAGAAACAGGGGGTAGACCTGAAATGCCAATTCCTCACCTTGCCCCCAAAACATAAGCCCAAGGAGTATACCCAACGGAACCTTGGAACAGTCCATGTTGGAGGAAAAAAGGGATGTGACAAACCCGAGAACAAGGCATGACTTCAAGGCAGCAGGAAAAGGAAACAACGGATTCAAATCAGGCAACCAGTTGAATTGCCTCCCAGACCCCGTTCGCAAGATGACCGCAACGGCTTCGATTGATTTCTGGCAGCATGCCGTTTTTTGAAGGTTCATAATTAGGGGGTATCTCAACTGGATAACCTGTCACGTCAGCTGGCATCAAGTTGGGACCACCCGTTCTGTCAAAAACTGTGCATACAAAGGCGTGAACCGATGGGGCCCGTTCAACCAAAAAGAGCACCTCCGCTTTCAATCGGCAACTCGTTCTTTTAGGGCAGCCCCCAAAATGGCTTCGGTTTCTTTTCCTTTGGGTGTCCATTGAACACCAACCAAAGCGGGGTTCCTGAAAAGACTGTTGGGAGTCTGCAGAGTCCCAATCTAAAAAAAACACGGGGGCACCAAATGCTTCGAAGAGGCCAGTGCTTCACCGGGGACTCCACCCACTCGAAGAAGAGCGGGTGGCTGGCGGTCTTCCGGAAGCTGCTGGCCCACGCCTCCACCGCCAGCCTCGCGAGGACAAGAAAAGATGGCGCTGGGCTTGGGAGCCAAACCATCGGCGTCCCTCCAAAAACCGGTGGATTTGGGTGTGGCTACAAATTAAAGAGAAAAGCTGGTCAAGCACGATGCGGAAGAAAAGGTACTCCTCGTTCTGCCCCTGCCTTTAGCAGGGTGTGGCTCAAAGTTAAAGAACTGGGGTTACGCAGGTTTTAGTCTTTGCTTCCATTTGCCAAGGTGCCCTGTTTTTGAGCCACGGACATTTGGAGCCCGGAACACTCGAAAGCCAGGATTTCAAATCCCCAATCCAATCCAAACCACCAACCAAGCCACAAGCTTTGAAAAGGAGAACGGGGATCAAAAAACATGGGAGGGTGGGGAAGTGTGGAGTGTTTTTCATCTTTACGCGCACCTTGTTGGCAAGTATTCCCACAACTCGAATTCTGATTGGATGTGTCTAAGATTGCCCCTCTGTGCTTTGCCGCGTCCAATCGGCGGTGGCCAGCGTGGTCGAGACAGAGCTTAAAGCACGAGCGATGCATTTCGGGTTCTTAAAGGCGTCAGGATCGCACGAAGGGCTCATGTTTCCATAACTCAGCGTCCCTTCGATTTGGCTGGTTTTTCCTAAGACAAGGAGGGCACCAATCGCAACAGCTACAGCAAGCACGATTCAGTTTCCCCCGAATTGGTGGTTTGGATTGGTGGTTTGGATTGGAGGTTTGGTTTGGATTGCAGGTTGAGGGGTGGTGTCCCATTTTTCCTCGACACTACAAGAACCAGGGTTCAAATCCCCAAACCAGCCAATCCAAACCACATGAGTATGTTCCATGACAACTAGATCTGGGTGCCAATCTTGCACGGAGTTTCCCTGTATCTTCAAACCCACCCCCACCAATCCTGTCGGAGGATACCCTTGTGAAGATATTGATGTGAGGGTCTTTAGGCTGTCGCATTCCCCCCGCCGCTTTTCCCTTCCTTGCCCCATCCTTCCTTAATTGGACCTCCCCGTCCATCAAGCCCACCCCAATTCGACCCACTTGAGATACCTCTTGGCCGCCTTTTCATTGTCCCCGTCCCATTTTCGGATTCTGAGACTTGAGAGGCCGCCTTAGCTGACTTTCCTCTAGCAAAAGGCCGGACCTCGCCTGAAGAAGGGCCTGGCTTCCAGGTCTGTGGAGCGAATGCCCCCCTCGGCCCAGGGGTGCGCCACCGGGCCGCAGCGGAAGTCCAGGTCCGGGCAGCTGCAGCAGTCCACCCCCACCGCGAAGTAGTCCTCAGCCGGAGGATTTTTTTTTTTGGCGGCGAGCTCGGCCGATGTCCAGGCGCGTTTGGGAAAAACCGCACACAAGTGAGACCGCTGGATCTACCACCCGAGATGGATCTACGGGCCTTGCTATAGTAGAACCACCTTTGGGGGGGTTGAAAACGCTGCTCAAATGGGTTCTAGCAAAGGGATTACACATGATCTGTCTTTGGTGTAAGTCGTCCTCGGCGACTTGGATTTTTGTTCGGGTCAAAGCTTGGAGGAAACGGTCTTCCGGATTGTCCTTAATGTTGGGAGGGTCCCACTTGCCCTCAAAACTTGCCACAACTTGCACTGGCACACTTGCACCCCAAACACGTTGCTAGCGACAGTTTGCAAGACCGGCCTAGTGTTATGCATTCTTCGTGGTCGCGGCAGGGTCCTGCCTGCCAAGTCGTACCGAAAAAAACTTAGGCTTCCAGCACCCTGATTATGATCACCCTACTCAGCTGTGGTGTTGAGGCAGTGGGTCAAAAATAGGTACCCAAAATGGCACCATGGTAAATGGAAACAATAACTAAAACCTGTGGTCCCCTGGTTTAATTTTGACCCATAACCTTGAAGCCATCGGCTACCTCCAGCCATAATCAAAGCCCAGCAAGGCCCAGATTGCGAAAAGCAGGACGATGATTGCAAACCAGCACCTCTAACAGCACCCCCCCCCCCGAACAGCGCCCCAAACAGCACCCCCAAAGCATCCAGCCGTCAATCTTGCAAAAATGGGCCTGCACCGCCAAACAGCAGCCCCAAACAGAACCCCCAAACAGAACCCCCAAACAGAACCCCCAAACAGAACCCCCAAACAGAACCCCCAAACAGCACCTGAGCCAGCACGCCAAACCGCACCCCCTAGCGCCCAGCTGTCAGTCTCGCAAATCACTATCCTTCTTTATTAGAAGTTTACAACCCCTATAGCTTTCAGCTATCTGATCTGGGAAGAAAAAAAACATAGCATAATAGTTAAGACATGAGCTCCATTTGCGAATGTGATCCGGCCGAAGCATAGCAAGCCTTGACCCTTTGTTCAATACGGCAAGCGACAGTCACGTCCCCTTCAACGAGCGTTGATCCAATTGGCCCTGAGCTATGCACCCTAAGGAAACCAATCATTTTGAGGGTACCCCGTCTTTACCAAAAAGCACAGAACTAACTTTGCTTTGAATCAAAAACTTTCCCCTTTTCAACCAAACTGCTCTCCTCGCCCCGCTCTCACGCCCACCCATCCACCCCCCCCCCAGCGGCTAACCCCGTGACCCTCCTGCCCGACGGCCGAACCGAGGTGCGTAGCTGCCGTAGCGGGGCGCGTTGCCGATGTCGTGCTGAATCGTTCCGTTGGTCACGATGGGCGCCACCTGAGCCAGCCAAAGCTACGCATGCTCCCCAAGAGCTTGTGGGAAACGCAAGGAGTGAGCCACCTGCAAAAATATGGGTGTGGCTCAAGAATGGGGGCCCAAAATTAATGGAACCCTGGCAGATAGAACAGTAGACTAAAACCTGGCTGTGGTCCCATGGCTCTTAAATTTGAGCCACGCCCACTTGTTCCCAGAAAGGACATGGGAAAGCAGAGCTTTTGCCCTGGTTTTCGTGAGTAAACTTGTAACTCGGAGAATTGGTCTCGGATCAAAATAGAAAGTCCTACAAAATGGGCGGCGGGTGGTTTCTATTGGTTTCCCCGTAAACAACACAAAACAAAATGGCACCCCACCTTTTACATCACCCCACCAAAAGGAAACCACTTCTGGCCAGGGCCGACACACTCAACATCACTCTCCGAAAGATGGAGGTTCGCTACCATTTCCCACCACTCCCTCGATTTCGCTCCCCAACCCGGAGCCGTCAAACCCGCCTACCTCCTCTCAACTGTCCTCAGATCCCCCGAAAGTGACTAACTCTGAGTGGATTGAATGGAAATCCCAACTAAAAAGCTAAAAAGCTCAAAGGCCAAGGGGATGGCCGGCTTCGCCAAGTCAAATCCGATCCCAGGGGCGCAGTAGGTGCGGCCCGCGTGCATGAAGCAGCCCGCGTGCTCGGTGTCCACCCCCGCGCTTCTGGCGAAGTCAACCGCCCCGGCGTCCTGGATCTGCCGGCCCGGGACCACCCCGGGGTCGATGCCCCGGTAGGCCTCGAAGCAAACCGGGAAAAAACGAGCATGAGTTTGCCATCTGTGGCTGAAAGATGATCACGTTGAAGGAATGATATCTTGGTACACCACGTGTTTTGATATGTTCTAAAATGTGAATGCGCATATTCGACAACATTATTAGAGTTGGCGCGAGAAAGGTGGGCACAGAAGATGGCTGATGGCTTCTGCCGGTTCTCGTATCTGTTGGTTCTTGGAGTATAGCAACAACCACCACGAGGAACCGATCGGGACATCTAACGGGCGGTTGGCCTCACCAAGAAATTGAGTCATGATCACAGAATAGCTGGTATTAAAGGTGGCTACCCACGGTAAGGAATCAAAAGGTAGAAAAGGACGCAGTTGATTGTGTGTCCCCGCTTTTCGCAGCGCCTGTGGCAAGCAAGTGGTCATGGCGCTTGCGATCAGGCAGGTGCACGTGGTTTGTAGGAAACTTTGCTTCCCCCAGAGAGGCACATAGATACTCAAAACACCAACACGCGAAAGCATGGCTGCGGAACATACGCCGTTCGTCACATGCTTGTAAGGGCCCCATGGTGGAAACCCCAACACAAGGTTATTATAGACCGCACTCGGCGTTTTCCGGACCTTCTCACTTAGGCCAAAGTGGCGACCTATGGGCAGACCGGGAACATCTCCATCGCCAAAAAGCTGGGCTTCCAATGTTCAGCTGAAGCCCCTAGAGCAAAAGCTACCCCAGCGAAACCCTTCCTGCCGTACCTCTGGGGCTTCGATTTTTTTCGACGTATGGCCAGAGATCCTGGAAATTCCCGAGGTCCCAAAGTGTCCCTTGACACGCTCGCGCACGGCGCAGCGTTACGCTGCGAAGCATCGGAGGGCTCATGGGCCATTGGGTTTCTGGACCAAAACGGATGGACCCTTGGAGCGGTTTGCTCAATCTCCCCTTCAAGGCGACCAGGTGGCACGAAAAACACTGAGTCATCATCAAAACTTAGAGGACTCTATTCGGGACCATGCATGGTACAGGAGCGAAAGGGTGAAAACTTACCCCCATATCGCTTTCAGGTGCTTTGTCACGTGTTCAGAGGGATTTTGGATTCCAAAGAAGCGTATTCCTCTAAAGATGGCGGTCTTCTGCCATGCCGGCTAAATCTGAAAGGAACGAGCAGACTCGCCGACAGCCGGCACGCCTTGAGCAGGGACACCTCTTGGTACTGCTGCCAGTAGTTCTCCCAGAGATGATGCCCGCAGAACCCCCCCAGCACGCAGGCGGCCATCGACAGCACCAGCTTCCAGCAGGGGAACCTGACTGGCTTCAGGCGCCTTTCCGCTCGCATGCTTAAACTTAAGCTGCTGTGAAACAACCTCCTTTTGGGCTTCAAGGGGACCAGGGCTGGTTTAAAGAAATCTCATTCGATCCTGCACAGTCCAAATCTGGTCCCTGGCAAAGGAAACCCCGAGGAAACAGGAAACCGTTGACCATGATTCTACCTTGGATGATCAAATTTAGGATCAGAGCCACCCTGGACATGAGCTGAGGACTCACATCCTGTCCTTGGTTTTCGCAGAAAGAAACTCACGGCTGAATGTCGAGCGTCCAGCTATAGTAGATCACTGCCCGCTCGTGGTGGTTCTGGTGTATCTTCCCAACCAGCACCTCACGTACTGCATGAGCCCGGTCAAAACCACTTGCTTCCCCACGAAGACATGGACAAATTGGAGGTTTGTCCCATGTTTTTTGTGGGAGATTCAGTGAGTCATTGCTAGGAGCTTGGTTCTATATAGACCCTCAGATCTCAAGAGTTCCTTTCCCAGTAAGGTCCAATCATGGTGACAGAGGTCTCTTTCCACCTGTGTGGGGTGACCCTGGCAGAAATCAAACACAGGATGTCTTCATTCAAGACCTTTCTGGCCCTCGCAAGGATGGATGGTGTCCTTCTCGGGCGGGGAGGAAACCAAAGCTCCCTAATCGCTGGCCACCCTTCAGGACCTTTCTGGTGGGTTGGGAGGAGCCCCAATGTCTCTTCTTCCTGGGGGATGAATTCGACCAGTTTGAGTCTTGCTCGACTCAGAATGTGCAAAACACAGCTGGAGGCCCGAAAGAGTAAGTGAATAAGCGAATGAGGGGCCTTGCTTGCCTCGGCTGAGCGCACTGGTCAGAAAGTGAGCGTACCCCCTCCAGCATGCAACTTGGCGATGGGTCAAAATCCAAATCGTACCCCCAGTGAACATCCGGTGATGCACCTACCCCAAAATGGGATCCCATTGGTTTTGACCCACAGCCACATGAAGAGCACCCTAGTCCCTTTTCTCCGCCCACCCAGGCTTTTTCCTAGGCGCGCTGAGCAGCAAGACCCCCAGGGAGCACTTCAGGGATCCGAGGATGTACACCACCACCGCCACGCAGCCCAGAGTGGCGATCCGCGGCAACAGGAAGCTGGCAAGGGAGGCTGCAAAGGCGACCACCTGAAGACTGGCCGAAAAGGTGCCCTGGTGGAAATCGGGAGAAGACCCCGCACCTGATAAAGCCGGGCCGGCTTTCGAGTCCAGGGTCGGATGATCAGTCCAAAGGTTCCAGGGTAGAGAGGTCATTCCCCAAATATTGGCGGCGCAGCCCATGTTGGTGATTGCTCAACTTGAAAGCAAACCATGAGTTTGCCATGTTTATTGGGTGAAAGTAGCTGGAATTTCCTCGATGTGATGCTCTACCAGCATCCAGTTTTTGGGGGTACCGAGAGACATGTAGAGCTATTCCGAAAGAAGGCATCCCCTTTGAAAAGCGGTCGTGTAGATCTGCATTTCGGGTTGAGCACCCAAGTTCACCTAGTTGGAGCACGTCGAGTTGCTTCGAGCTTCCACTCCCGAATCGACCTCTCTCCGCAAGAGGATGCCGAAACAAAGTGCTCACCGGGGCTCTTCTGTTTTTCCTGTCTTGTGTCCTAATTTTGCGGGAGAACCAGCGACCTGAAGCTTTCCCAACAAAACACGGGTCATCTCCTCAAGGAGAGTTCAGCATTTGCACGCTTCCCAGAGCGGCCAAGAGAGGCACGAGGTGAGGTTTCCAAGGTGCAATCCCGGGTTGTACCTACAAATTTCCTCCTGCTTTTGCAAAAGGACACATGGAAACGATCATACGAACCATCTCCCCCTCCCTTTAAAAGAAAAACAAGTGCAGATGTCTCGGAAATTCTTTTTCGGCGATGCCGGGGCCCCCGGCCACTGGCAGAGTGCAGTCCAGCGCCCGCCGGACATTGCCCCCAGCCCTGGCAACGAAAAAGCGGGGCAGTTGGGTCTTTTTGTCAGGGAGAAGGGGGGAGACAGGGGGGGGAAAGGGGTCTAGGTTGGGGTTGTCCATAAAGATGTTTTGAGTCACCGTGCACCTTTGCCTCATCCTTCGCTCAAGCAACCCCCTGAAGAAGCGCTTAGCGCCTTAGCCCGTGTTTGGTCGGTGCGCGGTTTCGTGGCTTGGTTTTGGGAGTTGCCTTCACCATGTGGTTTTGAATCGGAAACGGGGTGCGACTCCCAAACCACCAATCCAAACCAATGAAGGGATGCTTGACTTTGGTGGTGTTACGGGCTGGTCCGCCAGCATGACAGACAAGAAACCGGGTCCCTTGTTTGCCGTACCTCGCCAAAGGTCCTTGAAAAGGAAACCAAGAGGAACACAGGACTTTCACCCTCCCATGTTTGGACGTCCAGCTCCAGGCCGCGCGAGGCGGCAAAAAACCATGGTCTGCCGGCCGGCTCTTTGGGTCTTGGCCTGGAAACCAAAATTGCCGCGACCACCTCCAAGCATGGACCCGCCCAGAAGTGAGCAAATCCCGGCAACCGCGGGCCATCAAGGGATTCTTTGCACCAAGTCTGCTTAAACATGCAAAAACGCCTCGACTTGAAAAAGCCACTCCTTTTGGAATGAATCCCTTGACTCAGTGACTCAGAGGGGACCAGGGCTTCGTTGTTCCTTGCTGAGCATGCGTGATCCCGGCACTAACCTGAGCCTAGGCTCTTCAGACTCAATCACATCTGCTGACAGGGACTTTGTCTGATTTTCCCGCGCCTCTAAAATCATCAAAGTTCCAGGTTCCGCACATCCAAGCACAAAACGAGTCACAATGCGGCTCCCAACATTCTCAAATTGAAAATACACCATGGCTCAAGGAATCAACCTCAGAGATCAAGCCTCAAAAGACCGATCCCAACTAAAATGGTTGCTCAAGAAAAGAACACCCAACTTTGGTTCGGTGCAACGCCAAAAAAAATGTGCCGTTTCCGTCGCCCTACCACCCCAAAAATCGGAGTCTCACAATTAACCAGCGAGCAACGCTCCACCCCTCCACAAGCCAGCCGCCCCTGGGGCCCCAGCTCGAAGCCAGGCCGCGGCGGCTTGCCATGCAGCAGGCCCTTCAGACCTCAATCGGCTGGCTGGCGATCGCTCATGGTGTCCCGGAAAAAATGGGGAACGGCCCGAATCGCCTCATGTTCAGAGGCTCCTCGGCGGGAAGAAGAGAACACCAGACAACGGGGTGGGATGAGATCGCTCGTCATGGTTGCGGAAAACACCCCTTTCTGTGATAACAAAAACATATTGAGACCAGTTCCCATTTCTATCACCACTGAATGTCCCTTCAAAGGGGAGCTTCCTATTACCGAAAATTTGGCAACCTGAAACCACAAAACGTTCCTGAGCCATTCTTGAATGCCCATCAATCCCTCAACGAGACCTAAAACAAGTAGACTGGCTGCGCTGCACAGCAAAGGGTCTTCTCTTATGCTTCAGAAGGGCCCTGGTTTGACACGCAGCCAGCTGACAAACCGAAAAGGGCCCCAAACCTAAAAATACGTCCTTGAATGCAAAACCAGCCCCCAGCCTCAACATACATCCTTCAATAATGCTCCCAACCTAGGAATGCATTTTTGAAGAATGACTCCGAACCTGAAATTGCTGATTTGTTTTGCTTCCAAGATGAAAAGTGGCATACGTCTTCAACTCCAAAGAAAACCGCTCAGAGTTCCCCGTGAGGGTCGGGCTGTGATTGTAGGAGGACAAGAAGCGCTTCTCATCCTGACGGTTGTGCCTTTTCAATTTCTACACTTCTTCATTTCCCGAACCAGAACTCAGATCGGTTTCAAAAGGCCTCCTTGAGAGCAAGAATTCGCGAAAACAAGCACGGTTGCTGGTTGCTGGTTGCTGTTAGGCACTGGAACATGCTCCTTTTCCATGAAGAAAGTAATATCCATCAATCTGGAATTCGGCTTCTCGCTTTCACCCTCCTTTTGCCTTCCAGTTGAAAAAGTCTGGCTGCTGATAAGCGCCGATAAGCGCCTGCCTTCGTGTTTTTCATCCCCGCCCACGTGCTTTCCTTAGCAATGAAAATAAAATTGATGACTCACCAAATGTCATGCACAAAAAATGCTCTCGAATCGTGTTTTTTTCCCCTTTTCAATCACGTCCTCTTCGAGGTAGCCCTCCTTGATCACCATGGCGCTGGCGTACGCGAGCGCCAACTTCGTTCCTGAGCGCTCGAGTTTCTGGGTTGTGATGAAAGATTTACCAGGGTGACGCCGGAAGAATCATCTGAAGGTTGAGTGATGTGGCTGAGGTCCAACTTGCTGCATCAACTTGATAGATCATGGCTCCTACAAAAACCAAAACTTAGCTTATGGCCCCAAAGCCCCGGGGCAGGCGACCCGGTTTGCAGACCGAGTCGCCGGGAAGTCGCCGGCGGGCCCCGCGGCTTGAGAGACAGAAGTTCGGGCGATTTTTGCTCATGGCCCGGGAGACCTGAAAATTCACCGTGCGCCATGAATTTCTTTGGAGTCACTGCCTGGGGTACAGTCATACCCATGTCATATGGGTTTTTTTTCCCGGCAAACCTCATGAAATTGATCCCCTCATTGCCATATTTGCTGCCAGGATTTGAGGTTCTCGTCGACCTCAAAGTTTTAGCAACGATCCATTTGCATGATGGTAAGCCAGCCACCAGCCACCAAAAGAAACAAAGTGGAGTCCCATGATGGTCGAAACTCGTTTTGTCGGCTGTGGGCACGGCTGTAGGGATCCTTTTCCACAGGCGATTTCTCGAATTTCTGTGTGGAGCGAGAAGGGAACTTTGGGGGAGCCTCGCCAAGCTCGGCTGAACACGTGTGGGTTTGAATGAGCATGGCGCCAGCCAGGCCGCCACGGCAACAAGTATTGAAGAAAGGTCTGCACGCCAGTGGTGAAACGAGCCAAACGCAAGCGAATGGGCAGGTCAGCAATCAAGAAAGACAAACAGGTAAAAAACAAACACCATCCAAGCTGCCAAGCAAGCCATCCGCCCTGCCCGCCTTTTTTCGCAAGCAAACAAACAAACAAAACAAACAAGCAAGCAAGTCAAGGCCAGCCAAAGTGCAGCCAAGCGAAGCCAAGCGAAGCCAAGCAAGCCAGGCAAGCCAGGCAAAACAAGGGCCTTGCAACCACGGCGAAGATTGGTTGAGCGCACGAGAAGCCAAGCGACAAGATTTCCGAAGCGGGCACGCCGCTGAGCAGGCACGGGACAGAAGAACAGAAGAGAGAAGCAAGTGTGAAACACTGGCTTCCAAAGCTAAAAATTGCACCTTTTGCCGGTTGAGCCATACGATGGCATGCCAACGCGAGGACAGTTCTTGCAAAGAGACAAGGAAACACACTTCTTTTCGAAAGACTTCTGCTTTACGTCCTGGCCCTGCGTTTTCACTAGTTGGGTGTTTCCTCCAAGCGTCTGTGGCCGTCAAGCGAGGCAGTTGACGCTTGAGCCAGGGGCTTGAAACTGGAAACACGCCCTCGGAGCTCTCTGCTCGGCTTGGAGAGGGTAGAGCTTGGGGGGTCTGCTACACGCACCCATTGCGGTGTGAGGCAAGCCCTGCTCTAGAATTTCGGCGCCTGGCGACATCCAAAGACTGGACGAACTGTCGAACTTTCAGGTCATTAAGGCTTGCGCGGCAAAAATTTGTCACGGAGTGCACCGTTGTGATCTCAATAGTGTGGTGCTAGCCAAGGCCTCAAGTAAAGGTCCATGCTGGTGGCCCATAGCGTCCAATGCATGCTCCAGAGTTTTGCGAAGTACTTCTCTGCCTGTGAGTGGGCTTTTTGATTAACGCATGCAGTTTGTCAAGTTTGCTTGACAATTGAATAGTGTCATGAGCTAAGACTTAAGAGCGTGAAAGGGCGCTCAGAAAGACAAACAACAAAGGAAGAGGAACACGGCAGCAACAAATATCCCCGTGCCGCCTACAGCATAGTCTACGGTTGACAATCAGTAAAGCGAAACGAGCAAGCAACCCGGAGGGAAGCAACAGGCGAGCCCAAACGAATTCCCTAATTAAGGCAGCTGCAGTTGCAAAGCATATGCAAGCAAAACGATGATGGACAAGTTAGACCAGGTACTCTTCTCAACCAAACTGTTGAGTGTTTGCACATGTCATGCGCACGTACAGCCATATACGGAAAAATCGAACAGATGCGACTGTACCACAAAAAAAAAAAAGCCTGTCATGATGGAGCAAAGCCGATTCAACACTAGGCAGCGCTTGTAGACCAGTGCAGCGCAGCTACCGGGCGAAAACCAGGCCAATCGTAATTGAGCGGACAAACTGTTCCATCGCGGCGTCGAAGAATGCAAGTCGCAATGAAGCTACAAATAGTCATCCCAAAGGTATATGAGTGCTGCAACCGTCAAAGTCAGTTGCCGCTGGGACTGTCAACCAGCTGCATGACTGTGGCATCAATGCTGCCGGATAAACAAGCTCCACATCCTCAGGCCCATGGGCATGGCTATCGGCATAGGTCCCAGCTTCCACATCCCCAACACAGCCAAGGTCACAAGACGGGGGGAGGCCGCCGAGAAACAAAAGGGGGAGGGTCAGCATGGCTCCCGCCGTGAAAGTGATCAGCGGCATGGCACAACCACCACGAAGTAATACAAGTGAAAAGCACCACAACGTAGCTGCCGCATTCATGACAAGAGCCCAAATAATTCGGGAAAACATTCACAAGAGATCACGCTCTAATTGCCAGCAGACAGCGAAGAATGAGAAAGGGGAGCATCCATGTCGCCAGGGATTCGATCTCCACATCCCCAGACCCGAAGGCCTGGCCATCAAGACAGAGGTACGCTTCACATAGGTCAGTACAACAATCTCACATGCGCCCCTAACTGTGGATAGGCGTCTACTCCTTCACGCAGTAGTACTGTCGTCAAAGTGGTCGGCGGCAAGGCACTAAACACTGCAACGCAATGAGAACAAATAAGAACAAATACACAACTTTTCGGGCACCTTAGCCAAAGCAAAAATATTCAGAGTGGCGTCAGTGATGTCGAATACTGTAAAGCGTTGACACCTCTTCTTCCCACTAAACCCATTCCGCGTTAGTCTTTGTGAAGTTCTTCCTGCCACAGATGATGATGGGCGATGATGTTGGTAATCACACAGAACGGGCTGGTCTGCATGACGTGGAATAATCCAGCAGGAGCCTCTTCAGGACCTCCATCAGAGTGTGGCGGCGAGGGTCATGTCTGGTCTTGAAGCGACTCTGGAGCGACTTCTTTGAGTTTCGCCGATTGGTCAGAATCAGCCCTGTCAGACAAAACGGAAGTCATGTCTTCCAACCGTTCTTCTGGTCAACTGCAACTGATGCTCATGGCACAGCTTGAGAAGCCACAGAGGTGGGTCTTGCTGCATTCGGCTACTGAGAGCGTGTCTCCAGACACAGGGTAGCATCCGGCAGCTCAACATGCGTTAGCTAAAGAAGCTTTGTTGCCACGCGCGGATGCCCATGGGTCGCGCGACAAGTTTTTCCTGGCGATCTTGGCTTTTCATCCCGCCCAGAGTCTGGAGCTGGTGCCCCATCCAAACACAGAATGGCATCAGCCAAAAATGCCATCAACGTGGCCTCATATAATGCCCCACGTGGCTGACTTTGCTCTTCCTAGAGTCTGTTCTCTTCCTTACTGACACAAGATTTCATGAGTCCTTCAAAAGAGAAATCACTTGTGGACTGCCGACTTGGAGGATGCAGGTTTAGCCCTGCAATTTCATTCTGTATTTTTGTCCAAGTTATTCAAGAGGTTAAATCTTTGTAACCCAGAGGCATTTCGCAGCTCTTTTGGAGAACGAACCCAGGATGGTTATATATGTGCAACTTCAATCATAGCCGATCCTCCAAGAAGGCTTGCCTAATTCAGAACAACTACACAGTTCTGGCACCAGAATGAAGACGCATGCCAGCTAGAGGGGCCCATTCCAGAGAGGCGTTTCCACGTCCAAATTTTGGGCACGGTCAGCGTTCAACGCCCGTATCAACGCCCTACCTTCTAACATCTTTTGGCACTTCCGTTTGAGCACAATTCAAGCTATTTCCTGCGAAGAAACAAGACACACGGCTGTAAACGAATTTCAACCACAGAGAAAGTTTGGAAAAGAAGCTGGCAAAGTCGCGAACCCAGCGGCACAAGCGTCGAGCTTTGCCTTGCTAAAGGGGACGGGGGAGCAGCAAATCGTCCCAGCAAGAAACTCCTCCACTCCACCAAACTCTAGCGGATTTCCGAATTCCGGCACAGCAAGTCCGCCCAACGCTGCGCCAAAAACACACATGTTATAAACATGTTACAACTGACAAGCCAGCTAAAGAAAAATGCAGCCCATGATTCAAGCTGAAACCAGCTACAAGCTGAGTCTCGCCAGTGGCTTTTAAAAAAAACACGCGCGCGCAACCTAACTCAGACACACAACATCAATCTGGAGCGAACGTCGCAACATGGCAACAAGAACAAAGGACCTAATCAGCCGAGCATACCAAACACTGCCAAATGACTTTCTCCACAAACCCACTTTTGGCCCACAACTAGTTCTGTGCAGTTGAAAAGTTGTCGTCCAACTTCATTGCACAGAGCCGCACACAGGAACCAACGTTTAATCAACTTGCAATGAACAAACTGTTTACTTTGGCATGGCCGCAACATTTGCGCAGCCAGTTGCTATCTGGGCCATTAGCGCCTTGCATATTGCAGGAAGCAATACCTGGGCAGGGACAACTGTTGACTGGATGCACACTGGCGTCCAAAACGCAGAAACGCTTGCAGCCACACTGAAGAGGGGGGGGCAAATTGGATTTCTGGTTGCTCAGAGCCCAAAAGTGGGCGTACAAGAACTGGACACGCATTGTGGCCCTGCTGTTTTGGTTCACCCTGATGGTTGAACATAGTAAAGCACGAGGCCAACCTTAGTTGTGTGACAAACCTTACGCACATGCAACTCAGTGGGTGAGTGGCTTCTAAAAAAGGGGTCAAAGCCTCAAAAGAAGATTCTTAAAGGCAAGAAGCAGAAATGACAACGCGGGCAAGGCAAAGATTCAAACAGAATTTAAACGGGAAAAGAAAACCCCAAACGCTAGAATCCTGTTCACTTCTTCAGCTATTAAAACGGGAACAAGCAAAGGAAAAAGCATGCGGTCCAGCAAGCCAAAACGATCTGCTCCTTTTTCCGTGATGTTGCTCAGAGGCACGCCTCTCTCTTTAGAGGGAGTTTCCCAAACGGATTCTATTCCACCTGGTAGGCTCCTGACACTCGTCCGTCCAGGAAACGACCTCGTCCTGCGAAGGATTCGAAATCTAAAACGCCGCGCGCAGGCGTGTGGCTGCAACATAACGACCCCTAGATACGCTTGCAATTTGCCTCCAGGTTGCATTTCAAGCAACCCAACCTTTGCAGGGCTAAGAAAAAACCAAAAAAAAAGAAAAAAGGGGTCCCAAA